ATTCCATTCTTCTCCTTCGATATTGTGTTGGCTGTTCTGAGTCTTTCCCCCTCTCCATATAAACTTTAGAATTAGTTCATCAGTAGCCACAAAGTAATTTGCTGAGATTTTGATCGAAATTGCACCAGATCTGTCGATCAAGTTGGAAAGAACTGGCATCTTGACAATATTGCAGCTTCCAATCCATGAACATGAACTATCTCTCCATGCATTTTTAAGTTTAAAGAAAAATACCACGTACGAGAGGTAGTTTATGTTTCATCACTTCAGACTTAAAATAGCCTTAAAATTCTATATTTTTATGTCTTGACAACTTTCTCAGATAAATATTTTATATACCAGCCTTTGTAGCACTACCCCATCGGTGTTCTTGGAGACTTCTTACCTCCTACAGTCCTGGTATCTGTGTTCACTAATGCAGAGGCTCAGAAAAGAAAACAGAGCATTACAACAGCACACATGTTCTGTCTAAATGGACTGTTTGTCCCTTTGTTGGGCTTTCACGTGCATTTCCTTCTTCCTCACATGCCTCACAACTGTACCAGAAGAAGATTTCCCTGTATTCCTCTCCCTTCATCTGAGTTGCTTGTAGATGGTGGCAAGACCATGGTTAGTTGGAGGTCTAACCCTAGTTGGGATCTTTCTCCATGTTTTGTTCAAGCCATCGAAGGCTGTGTGCACTGACAAGGGACTGAAATCACTGAAGGAGGGGGCAAAGCCACAATTCTTTAACAGTACACAGAATTCTAAAAAAAAAAAAAAAAAAAAAGCAAGTAGTACTGATTTGTCACTTTATTGCTACTACTTAATCTGTGCTCTTATAATTTCTTTAGTTTAACTAGATGTGAATAAGATAAAAATTTAAAAACCAGATCACAGGGGCGCCTGGGTGGCTCAGATGGTTAAGCGTCTGCCTTCGGCTCAGGTCATGACCCCAAGGTCCTGGGATTGAGCCCCGCATGGGGCTCCTGGCTCAGCGGGGAGGCTGCTTCTCCCTCTGCCTCTGCCTCCCCCCCTGCTCATGCTCTCTCTCTCTCTTTCTCTGTGTCTCAAATGAATAAATAAAATCTTAAAAAAAATAAAAATAAAAACCAGATCACAGTATTTTCTATCCATGAAGCTCTCCAGTTGTGGGAGAATTTTACCCTTAAATCTGTACTAGTTCTAGGAAAACATGTTAGATTTGCTCACTCTTCTTGTATCACCTGTCTGTGTCAGCAACATGTGGGAAGAGTTGCAGTATGCATCCTCACTAGGCATACAGAAGCAAACCTACCAGTAGTGATGCAGTGACCTGAAAACATTCTTGCAGATTGATCCTTTGCCTAACTTCAAACTGTGTCCTACCAAGTCCCTGCCATCCCTAAGACCTACCTTCCTTCCCAGCTGTCCAGCTGTTTTCACTTTTTCACTGCCTTCTACACACACACACACAGGTACACGCAGATGCTTATTCCTTCCCCTCACTGTTTCCATCTCTCTGTACCACATTCATGGGATCTGCATTTGAAAGAGTGGAGGACAGATGGAGTAGGGCCTCTATTCATATTGTGTCCCAACTCTCTTACTATTCCAGTCAATCCTAAACATCATCAGCTAAACCTAGACAAGCCTGGAAGATGGCACAATACTTATTATAATATATACCACGTCCTTCTCTAAACAAGGAAAGAAAAACTTAGAAGGGAAAAACGAGACGACAATAATGAAATGGAAAGCTAAAAAAAAAAAAAGTCAATGGACAAAGATATGTGTCTCGTTCTCACATTTTGAGTTCAAAAGTTTAATAGCAGCTCGTGAGAAATTGTATTAATCTTCTCAGGGGATAGAAAAGCTGTGTATTTCTTACCCCACTAGAGAGCCATCTGAAGTCAGAGGAATTAGGGGACCTAAACCAACTTCACTAAGTAGCAACATTAAGAAAGAGAGGCAAAAACCTTTATGTTTAACATTATCACTGAGAGGGGAGTAAAAAAAAAAATACTCCTTGACAAAGATCTGGCAAACTACTGGAAGCTTCTAACAGCTGTATCATTCCCGGCCTCGTAGCTTCCATGTTCCTGCAGGAGCTCCTGGGGAATCTGAGTGCTTTGGGAACTGGAGTTGTGGATTCAGGGAATGCCATTTTTTTGAGTCATGAACCACACCCTGCCACCACACCCGGGACTTTGGAGATGTGTTACCAAGTTTGGCAGAACTAATGATGTCTGGATCTTTGAAGAAGAAAACTTTCTTGGCACTTCATATATTTTTTCAAAATATTTTAAGCCAAGTGCTACACTGACTTGATTAAAATTCACTCCTGAAACTTCATTTTCAAAGAAAATGTATTATCTTTTTTTGAATTTTGATGAAGTCTTCCTGGCAAGTCAACCTCAGAGTTTATTTAATAAGAGTATTTGATTCAGAGAGTTGCTTGGAATTAGGGTCATTTCACCAGTCGTAAGTGAAAAAGTGAAGGAAAAGGGTTTTTAACTTTGGGATAATATTTTATTTTGATAAAATTTAAAACTTACCAAAAAAGGGCCCATGATAGGGCTCTCTCATATACCCTTTACCAGAGCCACTGACTGTTCGCATTCGCTCACCACCCCTGCCCTGTCTCCTCTCTTCCCTCCACCCCATGCCCTGCCACCGCTGCTGACTTCCCCCTTCCCCTTCTGTCTCATATGCACATACATGATATACATGGTTGGGGCTGCCCTAACAGAACGCCATAGACTGAGTGGCTTATAAACAACAGAAATTGATTTCTCACAGTTCCGGAGGCTGAAAGTTCAGGATCAGGGTGCCAGTAGATTCTGTGTCTGGTGAGAGCCTGCTTACTCTTCGTTGATGCTTGCTGCATCCTCACATGGTGACTTTCCTCACATGGTGGGACGAGCAGGGGAGCCTTCTGGGGTGTCCTTTATAAGAGTGTTACTCCTCTTCAGGAGGGCTCCACCTTCCTGACCTAACACCTCCCAAAGGCCTCACCTCCTAAGACATCACCCTGGGGATGAAGTTTCAACATATGTAATTTGGGGCACACAAACATTCGGTCTAGCTCACTTCATAACCACAATCCAGTGACGAAGGTGAGGAAATGTAACACCGATGCGGTGTTTAATCCATAGCCCATTTCCAGCTGTGTCTGTTCCCCTCCAACCATGTCCCTTCTAGCCCCCCCGTCCCTTCAGGAAAAGAGTTTTTAACCTAATTTAAATTACCAAACGTCTCAAAATCAGTTCTGGCTGTGTTGCTCTGTGGAAGAATTCTGTAAAGGATTCATGAACTAGATGATGGAGAAGTCCATGTTCATGGCTTAACCCGAATGTGGCCCATGCAGATATGTTTTATGCACATCTCTCCCGGAAAGGAAAGAAAGAACCTGGAAGGTGATAACCTTCCATCATTCCAGTGTTTTAGGAAGATGAACTTTGCCAATCTTTACTTTCTTGCTGAGTGAATCTAGAAGTTTTTTTTTCTGTTGGTCAGTTAAGGGAAGTCAGTTGGATGCACTTCCCCTCAGGGCTCTCCTGGTTTTCTGACTTTGGTCAGTGGAAGGTCTACGATCACCTGGACCTTTGTTGCTTCTTATCCAAGAAAGAACTCCTAACAAGGGAAGAAGATCTGGGGAACCCACCAGAAGAGGTTAAGGCAAAGCCCCAGCAGGAACGGCCCACCTCAGGTCTGAGAAGGGGCTGAGGTTAAAGCCAAAGCACAGAGCCAGGAGGCCACACCAGTTTAGGGCCCCTGTCATAGAAGCAACCTTGCGGTGGGCAGCGGAACGAGCGGGGGAAGTTCCTTCTGCTCTGGGGAGGAGGCTTTTCCCCTCTTCCTTCCTCTGCGCTCGATCCCACAGCACCTGGCCCTGCCTCTCTCCCTGTCCCGTGCTCCCTAACACGTGATACATTTTAAATTTTATCAAAATAAAAAATTATCAAAAAATTAAAAAGCCCCTTTCTTTCATCTCCCCCCTCATGATTTGTTCCTAATTTGACCCTAATTCCAAGGAACTCTGAGAGGGGTTGGTAGTGAGAGGAGGGACAGCATGGAGGAGGAGGGAAAGCAAACTCTGTCCTGCCAGCGTTGAGGGCCTCCCGCGCTGGTGTCGCCCGCCACCGTCATCCACACTGTCTGTCCCTGGCACGCCGCTTCCCCCCCGGCGCATTCCGTACCCCACCTGGTCCAGCTCCTCCTACTCCCGCCTCAGCCCGGTCCTGTCCTCACTCCTCCCTCTCCTCGCCTCCCGCCGTCCCCGAAGCCTCTTCCTCCCAGGCCAAATGAGTTCACCAAGGCCTTAGAAACTGAAGAGGCAGGTATCTCCAGAACCCCATTAGAAGCTTCTGAAAGCAGTTTGTAGGTAGAGACGTTAGTCCGTATGTAGGTTACATCCATAGCACGATTCATCCTCAGTGTCAGACACACTGTGACCCAGACGCCCCTTTCGGGGGCTGACCTGCTTCCCTAACTGACGTAACAGAGGTGTCTGGGAGAAAGCATGCTGAGTTCCAGAAAACCTTCTTGGAGCACACCTTATTCCTCTACTCAGCTTTCTCTTTTATACTTGACCGTGGTCCTCGTGAACGGAAGTGGGTAAGATTTTCTGGATTGACCATGTCTTTTGTGAGAATAGATGGATAAAATTTCCTAATCAGCTGAGTTTAGCTAGCTCAGTAAAACCGAGCAACTTTTAAATTGATGGCATGAAGAGAGTCTCTATTTTTGTTTATTTATACAAGGTATCATTTTGGTGTTCCAGTATTCCAAACGAATGAGTGAAAAAAAAAAAATCAAAGTTTTAACCTAAAGTTTCAGTGTTGTTGATGGTGATCTCTCACCCAAGCGGGAAGTTAGAACGGCAAACCCATCTCAGCTAGAACGGTTACGGACATTTTTGGACAGTGTAGCGCTCCTGTTTGTTTGCCTGCTTTTCGGCTCACAGAATGCTGCATGTTGAAGTTCACAGCTCTGTCATTTCCCTGTCCCGTTTTCTCCTTGGCACACTTCGTAAACAGCGGGTCACAGAAAGTCGAGAGAGCCAGATGACTATCGAAGAGAGGAAGCACCTCATCACTGTAAGAGAAGAAGCCTGGAAGACAAAAGGCAAAGGAGCAGCCAACGACTCCACCCAGTTTACAGTGGCTGGCAGAATGGTGAAGAAAGGTCAGAATGTGTGTGTGTGCATGCATGGGCTTGTGGGAACAGGTGTGCGTGCGGAGGGGCGGGGGGCACACACTCTGTTGCCCGTGGAGGGGAGGGTTGCTCATGATAACTTAATTTAAAAAATCAAGCCATGGTCTTTTTTAGTTTTTACTCTTATTGAAGTTGTGTGAACATTTTCTGGCTAGATTTTGTGAGCCAGTCCTACTGAAAACCTTTTCTTCCTAAGTAGCATCATCTTTATGTAGGAAGTATAATTCAGTTAGTGACATTTCAAAATTTAGCCATTTGGAAGTTGAGCACAGGTTTCAAAAAGCAATTGCAAATCATCTAACAAATCGTAGTCCTTTCCCATAATTGCTTTTAAATTATTTTCATTTTCTTGCCATCTGGCAATCAGTTAACCCAAATAAGGCTTTGTCAATGAAGAACGAGCTTATGTCTTCTCTTTTTTAGAGTAATTTCTAGGTCCCTTTCCGTCAAACCAGAGTTCGCCGGCTTGCAAAGCCCTAGTTTCAGATAGGTTTTAATAGGTGTTTAAAAGATGTATGCCATTCTGAGGAAGTGGGATTCCCTGCAGACTGTCACTTGTTTGCCGCTGAGCTCTTAGAATTGATTTGAAGCCAGTATTGAAAGATTTATGAAATTGACCGATGCCTCACATGGTCAGTGAAGTCACTTTATGCCTCACGTGGTCAGTAAAGCTGTGAGGGTCCCTATCTGGTGGGAAATGGTTAAAATCTGGGGTCCCTTCATCACCTATCTGCATATACCTTCATTTTCTAAGGTATTGTTTAAAAACAAATTTCCTGACTTGGTGATAAAAGCGCTCACACGCACTTAGAGCTAACGTACATTGTCATCAGCTTTCTCAGTTCATGCTTCTCTTTCCTGGAAACCTTTCAGAATCCTCACTTATAAATAGTGCCTAACTCATTGTAGGCACATAATAAATATTTGCAGAAGGAAGGGCAGGGAAACCCTGACTTGTGATTAACTCAAATCTTGGTGGAAGAAAACAGAAGACAATTTGCTCCTACCAAACGAGGTAGTCATTGCATATATTCTTCATCAGATCACAGACCTGTATACTCATGTTAAATGACTTTGGCCTGAGCCCCATCCCTGTGTTAACAAAAGCAGACCCTGAGGCCCACGCTGGTTAAGAACTCAAGCAGGGAACTTGAATCAAAGTTCCGATCTTCCAACTTTTAGCCTGGACTTTCATCCCGATAACTTTTTACTTTGGTTTCTTTCTTCCTCTTCCATCTTAAAAATTGCCATTTATTTGTAAGCAGACCCTTATTACCAAATACACTGCCCTTGTGCATAGTGATGTCAGAGGAAATGGATTTGTTCTCATGCTGGTTTGGAGAACAAGGTTAGAGAAGTTCTTATCTCTTAGTGTAGGAGTTTGCTTTCACATTTCTTGAACAAGTCCAGGATCTTTATTTAACAGGTGCTACATGGCTTGCTCAGGAAATAATTTTCTTGTACTTTTAATCTAATGAAAAAACTGTATCCTGTTTTTCTAATATTTTTTACCACTTGCTGAGTTACATGTTTCACTGGAATCATCAGCTCTTTCTGATTTGCAGTCATATGGCATCCAGTGTGCTACAGTCACACACTGCAGAATAAAATAGCCCCTTCACCACAGCCACAGAGACTTCTCAGCTCAGCGGGTTACTACATACCAGTGAGTTTCTGAGAGGTGTGCTATACCCTGATTTTCATTCCCTCACTCCAGAAGACTCTATTCTCCCCTCGCTTCGTTAAGACGTTTTGATGTTCCTAGACTGTATGTACCTAACAATTAGTACTCTAGTTCCCGTGGTATTCTACGATTCTCCTGAAAGGAAAGTGCTCAAAATACCCCTTTGAATAAGAGAGCTATGAAAATGTCTCTGAAGAGACATAACCAGGTGACTGGTTATTGCAGGTAGAATCACTGAGAAAAGGTATGGGGAGTGCTTTGTTTAACAGTGTCCTGTCATTTAAATTTATATACCCTCCCCCATTAGGGAGAAACCCTTGCCTGTAGTTGGGAAAGGGATGTCCCACCAGCGGGAGCTCTTGCACGTGTTGCTGCCTGAATGGGCAGCAGGGGGCGCCCCGATGGTCCGGAGGGCCAGAGTTCCCTGAGCTCTAAAGCTGATTTCAACTGTACCTCCTTTTAGTAGGTGATGATTTACGGTACCTGTACTGCCTGTGATACCAAATTTTACTTTATTATCTTTCAAGAAAGTGTGCTTTCTCACCGATAGAAACCTTTTGTGGGTTTGATAACTGAAATAAATGTTTTAATTTTTATAGACATCATCAGGCAAATATATGTACCTATTAAATACTTCCAGAATATCACCTAAAACTGAAGTTTGAAACCACATTTCAATATTTTTCTTTAAAAGTTTTATGCTATTATACATCCCTCTCCAGCTAACGGAAGGAGCAGAGCAACTCATTCATTTATTTTTCCTAGTGAGCGATAGTGAGTTACATATTCTGCAAATGCTGTTCTTTGAGGGATGCTTAAAGTGGCAATGTCATCTAATGATTTCACATCTATTACAAATGAATACAAAGAACGTTAACATCTCATTTTGTTCTTTGTAAATGCACTAAACACTTTTCTTTGCAATCCCTTCTACGTAGGTGAGGGAAAAAGTACTCATCTTTGTCTTTATTAAGGTTTCTTGTTCCAACCAGATACCCTCTCTGTGCTGGAATGCCTTTCTTTCATGTGTCCCTAACCTTTATACTTTAAAAAATTCCCTTGTTAAATGTATGTGAAAGCATATTGCTAGTTCCCAGCCACACCTGAGATGGATACAACCCTTCAGCAATCATAGATCAATTTAACTGTATCCTCTTTTTTGTCTTTCTTCTAAAAGGTTAGTACTCCTTAGGCTATCACTCAACGAAATCACACTCTGCTTGGGGCACCTGGGTAGCTCAGTTGTTAAGCATCTGCCTTCGGCTTGGGTCATGATCCCAGGGTCCTGGGATCAAGCCCCACGTTGGGCTCCCTGCTCCGTGGGAAACCTGCTTCTCCCTCTCCCACTCCCCCTGCTTGTGTTCCCTCTCTCGTTGTCTCTCTCTGTCAAATAAATAAATAAAATCTTAAAAAAAATCACACTCTGCTTGATGTCCCCAAAGGCCAAACTGCCCCTACCTTGTCTCAGCCTGCAGGAGGACCCCAGTGCCAGGGGTCACTTGGCAGCTGGTGTGACACGGCCCATTCTCCACTTCCTCTGTGGGATGTGGTGCAAATGTACTTTCTCTTGAACTACCTCCACCACCCTAAAGGGCCTTCAGGACTCACAACTCCATGTGTTCAAGTATATTCTGATGCCTTACATACTCTTCTATTCCATTTACGTGTTACGGGCACATTTTCTCAACTGTCTTCATTGTTCATTTTGGAGTGGCAGCTTCACTGCCATTTCAGCTACTGTAGTCCTTAGAAACTACAAAACTGTGTCTACACCTACAGTTGTCCTACGTAGCCACAATACCTGCTGGATGTATGTCATGTGCACACGCATGCATGTGTGTAAAGTCTATAGGTTGTAAGGTCTACGTTGGGACTGATGGAGATCCAGCAGGGTCCTGGGAATTTCCAGAAGTGATCCTGAGATACTAACTAGCTTCTTTTTTTTTTATTTAGATAAAAACGTCTTCATTTATAAAATACAAGTAATTCTTATGGTGGTATGCCAATATGGCAATATTTATAAGGTGATACTGAAATGCTTGGATTTTTATTCTTTTTTTTTTTTAATTTTTATTGTTATGTTAATCACCATATATTACATCATTAGTTTTTGATGTAGTGTTCCATGATTCATTGTTAGTGCATAACACCCAGTGCTCCATGCAGAACGTGCCCTCTTGAATACCCACCACCAGGCTAACCCATCCCCCTACCCTCCTCCCCTCTAGAACCCTGTATGTTTTTGAGAGTCCATCGTCTGTCATGGTTCATCTCCCCCTCTGACTTACTCCCCTTCATTCTTCCCCTCCTGCTATCTTCTTCTTTTTCTTTTTTCTTAACATATGTTGCATTATTTGTTACAGAAGTACAGATCTGTGATTCAACAGACTTGCACAATTCACAATGCTCACCATAGCACATACCCTCCCCAATGTCTATCACCCAGCCACCCCATCCCTCCCACCCCCCACCACTCCAGCAACACTCAGTTTGTTTCCTGAGATTAAGAATTCCTCATATCAGTGAGGTCATATGATACATGTCTTTCTCTGATTGACTTATTTCACTCAGCATAACACCCTCCGGTTCCATCCACGTCGTTGCAAATGGCAAGATCTCATTCCTTTTGATGGCTGCATAATATTCCATTGTGTATATATACCATCTCTTCCTTATCCATTCATCTGTCGATGGACATCTTGGCTCTTTCCACAGTTTGGCTATTGTGGACATTGCTGCTATAAACATTGGGGTGCACTTACCCCTTCGGATCCCTACATTTGTATCTTTGGGGTAAATACCCAGTAGTGCAATTGCTGGATCGTATGGTAGCTCTAATTTCGACTGTTTGAGGAACCTCCATACTGTTTTCCAGAGGGGTTGCACCAGCTTGCATTCCCACCAACAGTGTAGGAGGGTTCCCCTTTCTCCGCATCCACGCCAACATCTGTCGTTTCCTGACTTGTTAATTTTAGCCATTCTGACTGGTGTGAGGTGGTATCTCACTGAGGGTTTGATTTGGATTTCCCTGATGCCGAGCGATGTGGAGCACTTTTTCATGTGTCTATTGGCCATTTGGATGTCTTCTTTGGAAAAATGTCTGTTCATGTCTTCTGCCCATTTCTTGATTGGATTATTTGTTCTTTGGGTGTTGAGTTTGAGAAGTTCTTTATAGATTTTGGATACTAGCCCTTTATCTGATATGTCATTTGCAAATATTTTCTCCCATTCTGTCGGTTGTCTTTTGGTTTTGTGGACTGTTTCTTTTGCTGTGCCAAAGCTTTTT